AGCATCACCAGCAATGTCAGGCCATCTTTTTTTTCTCTCTCTTTTAATCCTGGGCTCCTACAAAATGGGGATTACAGAGGCCTGGGGCCAGCGGCCTGCCCTGCCCCCATCCCTCCTGGAGCCTCTCTGTCATGGGAGCACCTGATCCTGCACATCTGTCTGTCTCCTGCCCTGAGATCTCCATGTTGGGGGGCGGGGGAGAGAGGAAGGGGAAGGAGCTGGAAAATTAAGCAGAGAAACCACTCAGCCCCCATAGCATGAGGGTTTAAGGCATGATTTGGATCGGTGAGGCTCACAGCCAATACCTGTCAGGCAACAAACAGGGATGTCTCATTATTTTCTTTAAGTCCAACTCAAGGGCTCTATCTGAAGAGAGGTGTGGGGTGGGGAAGCTGTAATTCAGTGCTATTTAGTGCTACTCACTTCCTCTCCCATGGTCCTCAGAGTCCTGGCCGTCTTGAGGATGGGGATGTTGGCAGAGGCCTGTGGGTGCTCCAGACTGGTCTCAGATGAGAGGGTGGGGCAGCAGGTTGAGAGGGGGTTCCACGCAGCTCAGACCCCCCCTCTAATCTTGGGACGGTCCCCTCCACCTCCCCAGAGCCCCAGCAGGGGAACATCTGGCCGGCGGGCTGCTTAGGCCCTTGAAATCATTTGGTCTGAAATCAGGGGTGAGCTCATTACATGTCTGAACAAATATAGCAAGCGAATTTTTAAAAATGTATTTTTATTGATTTCAGATAGGAAGGGAGAGGAGAAGAGAGTTAGAAACAACCATGATGAGAATCATCCATTGGCCGCCTCCTGCACACCCACACCACCCTCACCCCAATCCAGCCAGCAACCTGGTGGGCACGTGCCCCGACCAGAATGGAACCGTGACCTCCTGGTTCATTAGTCGATGCTCAACCACGGGGCTAGGGGACAGCGGCTTGCTGGGGACAGCAAGCTGATTTTTAAGTTGATAATTTTTAAAATATATTTTATTGATTTTTTACAAAGAGGAAGGGAGAGGGATAGTTAGAAACATCGATGAGAGAGAAACATCCATCAGCTGCCTCCTGCACGCCCCCCACTGGTACATGCAACCAAGGTACATGCCCTTGACCGGAATCGAACCTGGGACCTTTCAGTCCGCAGGCTGATGCTCTGTCTATCCACTGAGCCAAACCGGTTTTGGCTAAGTTGATAATTTTAGATAGCCCACAAATTATATTACAGATACCCAAATGGCTCCTGGGCAGGAAAAGGGCTCCCCACCCCTGCAGAGCCCAGGTTTTCAGAAAGCACAGCCAGGAAGAGGGGTTATCTGTGGTCCCCTGGAACGGGAATGGAAAACACAAAATGGACATCGGAGAAGCTATGCTATTGGGTACTAGGCTTGACCTTTTACTTGTTATCTCCTGGTTTTGACACCAAAGCCCCGCTGAACCGCCTGGCCAGCTCCGGTTCCCATGGGGAGGTTGAGGCCGGCTCCTGGGGCGGGACCAGGCCCAGGAGCAGAGCCGAGCTGCCAGCAGGGGGCTCTCGGCTCTGGCCTTCCCGGGCAGAAGCGCCCACAGCAGCGGCTGGGCTGGGACCAGCCCGAGAGGAAAGGGGAAAATTACTGGAGCTCAGAGGCGGGAAGGGCTGCGTGGCCGGGAAGAAGGCAATGGAGTTGAGGCAGGCAGTCCGACTCGATCCCGGGGAGAAGGCGCCCAGGCCACCCCCTGTACCCCGCCACCCGCACGGGTGCCCTCCTCCCGTCGGTGCCGCAGGCCGGTGCGGGCGCCGCAGGCTGGAGCTGGAGCGGGTGGCGCCACCGAGGGGCGGGCGCAGGGCGGGCCGGGGCGGGGCGCTGGCCGCTGGGCTCCGGAGGTGGTGCAGGCGGGCGCTGGCCGCGTCTGTCCTCCGGGAGGGAGCCGCGGGGCGCGGAGCCTTCCTGATGTGTCACCAGCACGTGGAGCCAGCGCCGCCGCTCCGGCGAGCGGGCACCACTCGCCCAACTTTGGAGACATCTCCGCGCCTCGCTCCGCTCCCCGATGGATGCGCCGGGCTCGTGCGTGCGCCCTGGGGCGGGGGCGGCGGCCCCGGGGCCCGGGCAGGTGGAACGGGGAGATCACCGCAGGGCACCCGGGACGTCGGGGTGCAGGCCCGGGCTCGCAGCGGCTTCTCGACCCCCTCCTCCCGGCCCCGGTGCGCCCCGCTCGGCCCTGTGCCCCGCGCCCCTTGGACCGGAGCGCAGGTAACGAGGCGGCGCAGAGCTGGGCCCCGCGCTGCGGCGTGGGGTCTTGGCGAAGTTCCTGGCGTCACTCTGGTGCTCGCCAGGCTGCTGGGCGTGGGGTGGCTGGGTCCCCGCAGCTCCCCAAGCCCGATCCTCCCGTCCTGTGCGGGGGGATGGGGGCGGGGGTGGCCTGGGAGCTGCCGGAGCTTCTCCGGGTAACCCTTCCAGGGCTGGTTTCGGCCGAGGTGGGGCGGGGCGGGGCGGGTGCCTTCTTCGGGGGACGCTGCTCACGCCGCTCGGACCCTCGGCCGAGACCATGTGCTGAATAGCGTGCGCGGGCCGCCGGCCGGCCCAACCCGAGGGACACAGTCTGGGGCGCGCCCGCACCCCGAACTCCTCGGAACAGCAAGACGGGCGGGAGTTGAGGGCTGGGTCTTTGCGGGCGAGATGAGAGTGTCGGTTCAACTGGCCTACAAAGTCCCAGTCCTCGGCTCCCCGGGAGCTCAGTGCCCGGGCTGGGGACCTGGCCCCTGCGGCCGCCGCCTCCCGGGGCCACGCGGGAGCTGGGCTGGCCGGGCGCGCTGGTCTCGGACGCGGTGCGGCGGCGATTCCAGGGCTCCCCGCGCGTCCCGGGAGCCACGGGAATGCGCTGGGGGGTTGGAGTTGGTCTCTGTGTGTGAGTCGTGTCCTCCGGGTGGAGGGAGATCCCCGCGGGGCAGACCGGGCGCAAGGGCGGAGAGGTGGCTCCCTTCTCCCCGACGCGCCGAGCTCCTTCTCCTCCCAGGGCCTACCCCACCCCGCTGCGCATTCTGGCGCCGCAACCTTGAGCTTGGGGGCCAGGAGGACCTCCTGACTTATAAGGAGTTGCTCCTGGAGAGATGATGGGACGCGATTCCGAGGTATATAGCTCCTGGAGACCTAGAAACCCCTGTCCCTTCCTGTCCCCCACTATAATTTTTAAAAAAAAGACACATTTTTTTGTGGGTGTGTTCCTAATGGCTCGCCTTTTGTTCCCTGGCATATGCCACATACACAATGCTGGCCCGCCCTGAGTTCTCTTGAGGGTGTATGCTGAGATTCTTCTCTTAAACCCTCCAGCCCAGCGATTTTCAACCGGCTGGCTCAAGACTTTTTGATACCTGCAATACCTGACTGTTTAGTCAGGGGCACTGACCTCTTTCCCTCGGGTTTGTCAAATAAAAAGATGACAACCGCCTAGTGTGAGTGAATCAAAATTATACTTTTTTTTTTTGTCAGATCGGCCAAAAAATACATATATTTTACGGTGTGCTGCAGGGTGTTGTTAATAATGTGATGTGTGCCATGAGAGGACAAAAAGGTTGACAACTGCCGTTCTACCCAAGAACTTCTCTACCCCCTTCAAAGAAAGCCCCCCGGCCACCCCTGGGAGCCCGGGTCTGCTTGGTGGTGGGACTTCTATTTTGTATTGTGTTTTGGCTGTCAGGGCAGTGGGGGGCCTTGGAAACACACTGGGAGCCGTGCAGTGAGGTGACCTGAACTGAAGGAGGAGGGCACGTTGACCAAACAGCATGGCCCTTGCTTCCCCTTCTTCCTGGCTTTGGAAAACAGGAGGGGTTTCTACCTGTCGGCAGGAGAGGGGGGGGGGGGGGGGGAACCAGCTCAGCCAGGTTGACCCACCTCTAGCGAAATGGTGCAGAGACCCATTCTGGAAGGTTTTCCCCACAATCTTCCCTGACGCCTGTGGGCCAGTGTAGACTCCCCACCTCTATCCCCATGTTCGTAGCCGTGTGGGGTGCTGGACCTGAGTGGTTCGGAGGGGAGCCCCATGGGCTGGGAGGTCGCTAAATGGAGCGGCCATGGCCCTGGACACTCACTGCCGTTGGCCCCGTGCGAGTTTGTCCTAAAGGCTCCCATCCGTGGACCATGCAGGCGCCAGGATTACAGGAGAAAAGAATTCCTTTGGCTCCGTCCTGCAGGGTGCGTGCGTCTTGACCAATTCTCGCTGTTGGGGCAGAGTTGTCTATGGGTGGACTGGGGGGTGGACTGGGTGGGCGGGGGGGGGGGAGCTTCAAAGCGGAGGCCTCGCCCTCATTAAGAAAAAACACTCTCTCCGAAGAAGCACGGAGTCAGGCTGGGAAAACCATGCTCTCCCTTTGAACCCGGGCCTCTCCCTGCCCGGGGGAGTCAGTGTCTCAAAGGGAACGAAGTGGAAATCTCCAGAATAACGCGTGGTCGTAAAAACACACCCGCAGGCCCGGGCTGCGGCAGTGAGACAGGGAGACACGGGAAAGCCAGCAGAGGTGGCTGCACGCAGAGCCCAGACCGGGGACCCCCCGTCTCTGGAAAGAAGGCGGAGGAGCCTGGCAGCGCCCCTGCCCTGGGCCCGGCGACAGGCAGCTTTCCCTCAGGCCGAGCCCTCTCCTCCCGGCTGACCCGCTTTTAGGGATTTTTTAAGGAAGTGGCTCGGTGCTTCCTTTCTTTGGGGGAAGGGAGCAATTAGGTTTTTCCTTCTTGGGATTTTTTTTTTTTTCCTTAGCAAAATGGGACTGAATCAGTTACACAGCAGGCTGGCCAGCCCTCCTGCAGCAGATTTGCGAGTGGACTTAAGCCATTGTATTTAGGAATTGCGTTTACTTTTTCATGGAGAGCTTTTTGGTTTTGCTGTCCCTTTTGAATTCTCTCGTAGTTTTCCTGGAGCAGATGCCTCCTACCTCCCCCCACCCCCATCCATGCCTCTAAGGTGGGCACCTCTAGGCTCTGTGAAGTCAGACTTGTTTGCCCGGGAGGGAGCCGGCTCCAGGAAGCAGCGAGATGCAAGGTGGAAAGCTGGTGGGAGGGCAGGGTTTTAACCAGACCCGGGGAGGACTCCCGAAATCCAGCGGGAGGCCAGGTCCTGCCTGCCTGCATTCCCTCCGCTCTTGAGTAAATTGCAACCTGGTAAATAATTAACCTAACCCTTGCAGCTGTTTTAGCTTTTTTTTTTTTTTTTTTTTTTTTTTTTTTTTTTTTAGAAAAAGATTCCAACCTCTGAAAGATTAAAGATCAATTTCTGTCCAGGAGGATTGGCTTGACTTAGGAGGTGTGTTGGGAGAAGCCAACCCCCTCGTCTCCACCCACCCTGTCTCAGCCACTCCAGAAATTCAGAGACTTAAAGACCCCTCCACTGTTGGTGGCACCAGGGGGGTGGGGAATGGAGAAGAGGGGGCGCTCTGAGCTGTGTCCCCAGATCTCCCTCCATGCCCCTTTGCCCGAAGCCAAGCTGTCTGAGCCCTCGGTGTTCAGGGTTTGATTCTGTCCCACAGCTGGTACAGTGACGGCTTGGCCCTCATTCCTGCGCGGAGCGGATTCTGCTGCCAGGCCCGTTTGCGCCTCTCTGCACGGGACGGTCAATATCTGTGGCCTGTCTCCGGGCTTTTACAGGAAAGAATAGCGCTCCTAATCGGTGACACATCTAGGAAAGAGTTGTCAGAAGCCAGGGGTCCGTCTGGGCTCCTTGAAGGGTTTTTCTCGAAGCAGCCCAGGGCGAGGGCCGTGAAGGTGGAGTCTGGGTCCAGATGAGCTGGGATTGGAGTCCGAGCTGCTCTTGGCCAGCTGGGTGGCCTCTGACAAGTAACCTCTGTGCCCACTTCTCCCCTGGTGAACGGGGGTTCTGATACCGGCCGTGGAGACCTGTGGCGAGGCTTAGATGAAAAATGTAGGCACGGCGCCTGGCACCCCACAGTAGACCTTTGACTGGCAGCCCTCATCCCTCCACTCTCTTTTAGAATCGGCCTGTGCGTACGTGCCAGTGGAGAAGGATGCAGCGTGAGTGAGACTCCGGGCTTGTGGGTCTCGGTTGCCTGCTGGCGTGTGGCCTCGGGCAAGTTACCCAACCTACTGGCCACCGTGGCTTTGTAATCATAAGGCCGGGATAATGTCTGGGAACCCCTTCCCCCGAAAATATATTTTATTGATTTTTTACAGAGAGGAAGGGAGAGAGATAGAGAGCTAGAACCGTCGATGAGAGAGAAACATCGACCAGCTGCCTCTTGCACACCCCCCACCGGGAATGTGCCCGCAACCAATGTACATGCCCTTGACCGGAATCGAACCTGGGACCTTTTCAGTCCGCAGACCGACGCTCTACCACTGAGCCAAACCGGTTTCGGCAGGCCTCTTAGCTTTTACTGTCCACCAACCACGCCGGGGACTGGGCTGGGCTGGGCTGGGGTGCCAGCCGTGGGTATGGGAGGGATGGCCTCTCGCTGCCCACGCCTCACCTCACCTCAGCCCTGAGAGCAGATGAGTGGTGGGAGTCCTCTGTGGTGGTGGAGGCTGAGGCAGAGGGGGGACAGGCTCTCCCAGGGCCTCGCAGCTACGTTTGGGGCCCCAGGAGCCCAACCCCCAGCTTTCCAGGTGCGTCAGGGCCTCCCAGGTTGGGCGCCGGTGAGCTTGGGCTGTGGCGCCGGAGGCACCGGAGGTGAACGGGCCGGATCAGCCCTGGGTGTGCAGATGCGGCCACCTCGCCCATCTGCTCGGCAGTGCAGCCGCCTGAGGCCCCCAGGTTCCGGTTCTGACACTGAGCACATTTCATGAAAGGTCTCCAGAAAGGTGAACGGCCTCAGCTTGGTCTGGGATTGCTCGCTCACTGACCCAGTGGACAAGCTAAACGCTCCAGTGGGACCAGTCAAGCAGGGTGCAGAATCGAAGGGATGGAGGGGTGGGGAAAGGAAATGAGTTGATATTCCAAAAAATACTGAAGAGTGGTCATCATGGAAAAAAATATCCATTTCATTGGACTTCCTTATACTTTAATTTTTTTTAATTGATTTCAGAGAGGATGGGAGAGGGAGAGATAGAAACATCAATGATGAGAATCATTGATCGGCTGTCTCCTGCACGCCCCACACTGGGGATCCAGCCTGCAACCCGGGCCTGTGCCCCGACCGGGAATTGAACCGTGACTTCCTGGTTCGTAGATCGACACTCAACCACTGAGCCAAGCCGGCCTGGATTCCTTATACTCTTTTTATGGCTCAGGGATGTTTTCATTGTGGATTTCCAATGGAAGGTGGAGCTAGATCATCATCTTTTTGCTGCTTTAGAGCCTCTAATCCAGTCCTTCCCACTGGCCCTGGGCAGTGGGCAGGGCGCACAGACGGACACGGAGCAGGTGACTTCTCACCCACTGCGCGGCTCCCTCCCTCCTCCCCTTGGCACAGTGTGGGAATTTTGAAATCGCCCTGTAGCCAGACCCCTTGTGCTCGCTGCCCAGGAGAGCTGGGGAGGGAGGTGCGATGTGGAAAGATCCACGGCCTGATTGCAACCTCAGCTCTGCCACTGCGGGCTGGGGGCCCCCTCCGCTGTTCTCTGGGGTGTGGGCCTGGATCCAGCGTGCACCCCCGGGAGAATCGGCTGGGCTTCTGAGCCAGGAGGTGCAGAGAAGGGCATGCAGGAGGGAGGCTGGGACCTGGGGCTGTGGTTGGGAGGAGTGGGAAGGGGGAGGACGCGGAGATGTGCAGCTGGGAAATTTGGATCCGTCTGTGAAGACTTTGCGGTTCATTCTCATGGAACTCACTTCCTCCGGCTGGATTTCTGCCCTGGGCGAGGGCCGTGAAGGTGGAGTCTGGGTCAATGTGTGGGGCGCGAGGGGAAACACTGGCTTCTCCTTCGTGGTGACAGGCATACATCCTGGTCTTCCCAGGCGGACGTTTAAGCAAGAACCCTCTAGCTGCGTGACTCGTGCAAGGTAGACCTCCTCCCCCACCTTCTGGGAAGCTTCTAGGCTCATGACACCTAGCCTTAGGGGAGAGAGAGCTGGGCGGGAGGCAGGAAATGCTTTCCTGCGTAAGGCGGGCGGCAGGCACAGGGTGCTGCAGGCACAGGGTGCTGCAGGCACAGGGTGCTGCTTTTGCATTGGGAAACCTGGGCACTCGCGGACTCCCTGGGTGCCCTTGGGCCAGTGGTGTGCCTTGCCGAGACTCGGTTTCCCCGTGTATGTTAATGCATGCCCTTGCTGTGGGGCGCGGTGAGAGTCCTGGGTGAGAGGCCGGGCCTGTGGTAGCAGGGAGTCCGCGGTAGCTGTTCTCAGGGGGCACCCTAGTTCATCCCGGGGCCTGTGGGGCCAGTGAAGCAACCCCAGCGAGGTCAGGGAAGGACCACCTGGGCCTGGCAAGCCTGCCTGCGGGCCTCCCATCTGGGGAGAAAACTTTAGAGGAAAAGCACGTCTTTGCTGTGTACGCTGAGGTGTGTGTGTGTGTGTGTGTGTGTGTGTGGAGGGGGTTCCTGCTCCCTCAGAGACAGGCCTGGTGCAGACATCACCCCCTTTTCCAGGGGTGGGTTCATGCCGTCAGTGGAGGGAGAGGTTAGTAGGAGAGTCAGGGCAACATTCTCTTGAATGTCTTCCTACTCGAGCTTGCTGCTTTAGGCTTAAGAACACACGAGAGAGAAAAAAAAAACCTTTTTTTTTTTTTAAAGAAAATGTGTCTTTGGTTTTGGAATTTCGAGGGTGATTAAGCAGATACTTGGAAGCAGGGCTTTGTATATAAGCAAAATGCTGGTCTCCGACTCGCCTGGGCTGACCACTGTCTCCCTGGGAAAAGCCCGCCGCTTGCTCCCAGCTGGTGAGTGCGAAGGGCTCACCCCGCCCCTGGCCCAAGTCTCTCCCCCTCTGCCCCCTCCTCCTGCGTCTGGTGATAGCAGGCGCTGACTGTCACTCAGGTCTGGGCGCCCGCTAACCTTGGCCAGATCGCTGAATGTTAAACCATCTGGCAAAATATCACGTTTTGACAATGGGCCTTTTCTCTGTCGATGGAGGCGAAGGGGGCAGTGCTGGGTGCTGGAGAGCCTCTTAGGCCTGGACAGTGGACAGGGGCAGGGTCCAGGATCCCGCCTTTGAATGTAAGGGGTGGGGACGGAGCTGGGGCCCTGCTCCTTAAAATAGAAGTCGGCCCCCAAACCGTCATCCCCAGCCCCCCATTTCCAGAGACTGAGAGCGGGAGGGGGCTGCTGCCGACCTGGGAGACTCCGGCATCCTCCCTCTCGTCCTTCCGGTGGGTTTTGCTGTAATCAGACAAGCCGTGACAAATGCCCGTTGCCCCTCGGCTGGGAGCTGAGCGGGGCCCTGAGCCCTGCCTGGAACCCCAGCCTCCTCCACTGGGGAGCCATCATTAGGCAACAGAAGAGTTCACGGGCCCTTGATTCAATAAAGACCCTTTTATGATGTTGATTTTTCCCAGAAAAATATTACCGCTTTGCCCCGTTCGCTGCATTTAGACGTGTAATCATATTAGACGGAGCCGCCCCGGGGACTGAGGTTACGCAGTTCGGGTTTTCACCAAAGCCTGCTCCCCGGCTTCAGAGGAAAACTGTGTCCTTGGGAAATAAAAAAGAAAAAGAAAAAAAAAAACAACAAGAAACGTTTTGGAGGGTTTTCTCTCTCGGCATTTAAAGGACATGGTCTTCCATCAGGGTGAGAAGGGACCCAGGATGCAAACCAGAAAGTGAAACAGATTCCCGGCCGGGGTCCGTGCCGCCCTGCCCGGCTACCCGTGCTCAGGGCGCTGGCGGGAAGGCGGATTGCCGGTGTCCTCTCTGCCAGGAGCTGGGAGTGCCCGCATGTGTCCTCGTCCCCCGTGATGGCAGGACTGCGGGCGGCCCGACCAGAGGGAGCGCTGGAGGCCTCGGGCAGCGTCCGGGGTTGGAGGGTCCACTAGTCCCTGCCCACGGTCACTACAGACACACCTCCCAGGCATCCGGGTCCCCTCCCCACACAGCCACCCCCTCGTAACTTACCCCCAGAGGACACTGGTGGGTCAGGCAGGTGAAAAAACGGTTTCCCAATCCCTCCTCAAAAGTCTTCCCAGTTCCGGGGCTCGGTGGAGATCCTCAGTGGAGTCCAGAACCTCTTTCCCAATTTTGGGGTTTAGAAATCGCAGCACGGAGGAAATTTTGGGAGTCCTTTGTGGGAGCGCTCCATTAAGAAAGAGAGGGTAGGACGTTTCGGAATGCTGAAAGCGTGGTGCATTGAAAAGGGGGGAACCCATTTAACGCCAGGGTGTCTGACGGGTGTGGTTACTGAAATACCTTTTCAGAGATCATCCTGTAATGCAGAAGAGCTGCATTTGGTAGCAGGTGGTTTGTCTGTTTTTGGACGGTGTGTATTAAGGTGGTTTTTCAGTATGACTATCTTAAACTTTGAGGTGAATTTTTAAAATTCTATATATTTCCATTACAATTGACATTTGATATATTAGTTTCAGATGAAACCTTTATTTTTTTAAAATTTTAATTCTTTTTTGTTGAAAGTATTACATTACATATGTCTCCTCTCCCCCCCAGCACAGGCCCTTACCCTCCTGGGTATATACACTTTTTGGAAGAAGTGCTATTAAACTATATATATATATATATACATTAAACTATATATACACATTAAACTATATATGTGCACATATATGTATATATACACATATGTGTGTATACACATGTATATATAAAATATTATTATATATAAAATATTATTTTACTCAAGAGTATAATTACCACATATGAAACCAGATTATACATTTAGTACATTTTTATAATTAGCTGTCAGAAATTTGCAATGAGATAAATTATTTTAGATTTCCAAATGAAACTTAAACCACAGGGCGGCTCTGAGGAAAATTAGGGATTTTTTGTTTTAGCTCCACCTGCTCCCCCAAAACACCCCGATGTGCTTGCCCATCGGGCAGCAGCAGGGACCAGAAAGTGTTTCCGCTGTCCTCATCCCGCGTAAATGGAGTTGGAAAATTACTTATGTTCCCTGACCGTGGAGCAGGCAGGCAGATGAGTTGCTACATTTTTCAGTAAGAATGGTGGTAGCTGTTCTCTGGATAAGAAATTCTGGGGACGTGAGTTCATTCAGTTTGTATTTTCTGTGTGTGCATATGTGTGTTGGGGGGGTCCCCCGGGGCAGTTTGCAGGGGTGAGGGATGTCCAACCAACACCAAGGAACAGAGTGCAGACCCGGCGTTCACACTGGTAACTGCAGCACTGGTACCCACCATCCTTTATCCGAAATTCTGAACTCCAAAAAACTACGAAAACCAGAGGTCGTTTGGAAACAGATTTTGTGGGGAAACCTGACCCGAACTGACGTGAGACTCGGCGTGGTGTAGTCTGTATCTATCTCGGTGAGTGTGAACAGTCATGGGTCTCGCTGCAGAGACAGTAATGCGTTTGATTATGGTGCTGCCCTGCTGGGTGGGGTGGGGTGTACTCTGTGGCATATGTACACGTTGCTTTCTAAAACCTGGGAGGTTCTGAAAGGTTCCGGGTAACAGAGCAGCCCTGTTGCAGGAGCATCAACATAATGAAGAGGCGGCAGCTCTGAGCCAGAGCCGGGGGCAGACGTGCAGCTGGCCAGGCCGCGGCTCCTTCCCTAAGCAGCAGCCTGTGGCTGAATGAATGAGCCCTGCCCCCACCGGGCCTTGAACTCCACGAAGGCTCAAAGGCTCAGCCAGTCTTGCTCAGGCTCGTCTCCTCGGTGCCCCCCTCCCCGCATGCTGGGTGCCGAGTGAATGCTGTACTGGTCGGAGCAGGGGGTCAGCAAACATTCGTTAAGGGGCAAAGTTTAAATCTTTTAGGCTTTGAGGCCCACAGGATCTCTCTTCTGCTCTGCTGTTGTGGCGTGAAAGCAGCCATAGAGAATACATAAATGGATACTCTTGTGTTTTAATAAAACTTTATAAAAACAGGCAGAGGGCCAAAACTGGTTTGGCTCAGTGGATAGAGCGTTGGCCTGCAGACTGAAAGGTCCCAGGTTCGATTCCGGTCAAGGGCATGTTCCAGTAGGGGGTGCGCAGGAGGCAACTGGTCGATGTTTCTCTCTCATCGATGTTTCTAACTCTCTATCCCTCTCTCTTCCTCTCTGTAAAAAATCAATAAAATATATTTTAAAGGCGGAGGGCCTGGTTGGGACCACAGTCTGATGACTACTTGTGAGGATAAATGTGTCCTTAACAATAGACTCTTTTTTCCCATATGTTAGTCCTGCTATCTGCATGCCTGACACCCCCCCTTTCCTACCCCCCCTCCCCCCCCCCGGGCACCCACAGTGGAGGTACATGTTGTAGCTGTCACGCCAGCACTCACCCCTGGCTCAGGCTCTGGGCAGCCTGGAAATGGGGCCAGGGAAGGCGCTGCCTGGCCTCCCAGTGGGAGTGTGCATTCATGTGGGCAGGTGCATTCAGGCGCCGACCCAGCCTGGCTGAGGGGCACTCAGACCTCCACCCACTGATGAGTTTTGGGGGCTGAGCCAACCCCAAGGAATACTGGCTGCCAGCAGGGCTGGGGGGTTTGCAGAGCATGGCGCTGAGGGGGTGAGAGGGAGCGTTTAACAGCCTAGGTGTTCTTAGCAAAAGAATTTCTGGCAGAGAGATTGGTTATCGTAAAGTGAGGGGCTCTGATGGATGAGATTCGGGTCGGTGTGATCGGCTGCGAGTCCAAGACGGCTTTCCGCTTCAGCGGGGCCTCTAGCTCCCACCTCCATGGTGGGCTGGCCTGGGGCCGGACCCTGCAGGGCCCAGTCCCCTAAGCTGAGTGCTGGGCGTGCCAGCATCCCCCTGCCCAGCCCCGCCCAGCTCTCTGTGCCAGGATGTTGGCCCCTAACTATTATATAATAGAAGCGGACCTGGCTCTTCAGGCCCTGGGGCCAGACCCTCACAGCCAGCCCAGCCGCAGGCCTTATGTGTGCCCAGCGGCTTCTCTGTCGGAGGGATTCTCCAAGTTATTCTGGGACCACTGCCCTCTGCCCGACCACCTCCTTCCCCAGTCAGGGTGGGAATGGCTCATAGTTTCCTTCCTAGGGCAAATTCCCAATAAGGGTGCTCACTCTGCAGTTGCCCGTGGAAATCCTGAGGGCTTTTCAGCTGCCCCCCCCCCCCCCCTACACCCCCTGGCAGAAGGGGGCAGCTCCTTGCTCATCTATGGGCTCAGGGAAGGCCCGAGGAGCTGGGCTGGGGACTGGTGTGTTTGGTGATGGGTTAACTCAGTTGTCAGAGCCAAGCCCACGTGGGTCATCTTTACCCACTTAGTATGGCATGGGGATGGGAGAGCCTCTGACCGTAACCCGCAACAGCCCTCCTGACCTCACCTCGTTACTGAGCACCTAGGCCAGACGCTGCCTATCCCATGGCCATACGGAGGCCCAGAGCAGTGGTTCTCAAACTGGGGTGTCTCTGAGAACCCCTTGAGGAACCTGTTAGGCCTGCAGACTCCCTAGCCCCCAGCCAACCTCAGGGGCTCCAGAATCGGCATTGTTATTAGGTGTGTGTGATGCAGGGGATCCCAGGACCGGGCTGCCTGCGGGCTGATGGGTAAAGCGGTGTGATGTGATGATGAGTGTGGGGGGAGGTGGAAGGGGCCCTGAAAAACAGCCGGAAGAGGTAAATCTTGAAGAACAAAGCAGGGGATGGTCAAGGTAGCTTACCCAACCAAATGCTTCGTACCAGGCACGCTCTGAGCCTCGGATGGGAACGAAGTCATTGAATCCTCCAGCAACCCCATCGATCTCAGAAAGGACCAGACGGAAGCCCAGAGGGGTGGCAGCTTGCCCAAGGTTCTGTGTCTGGGCCGTGGTGAGCCGGGCCTCACCCTCTTACTCCGTCCCACTGCATTGGGGCCACGGCACCCGCTCCCGCAGAGGCTGTGCGGGCGGGGGCTGTGGAGGAGGGAAAAGCGTGATGCGGTGAGGCTGCCGAAAGGCTCAGATCCCAATGCGTGGGCAGCTTGGGGTTTGCTGGTGGCATCGATGGCCGTGATCTTGGTTAGGGCAGAAAACTTTGGGCCAGGTGACCGTTGCCATAATGCTGTGTTGAGAGGGCTGAGGCCGTGGCTGGGGCTCCCAGCGTGTTTCCTCGCCGTCTGAACACGACAGGGCCCGGGGAGCAGCCGGGGGGGGGAGAATTCTCCGTGACCAGAGCCCTGCCCAGCCCTTGGGGTCTGAGGGGGGAGGGGAAAGATGCTGGAGAGGGACTCCGCTCTCTTTAAGGAGACATCTAAGAGCTTTGAATGCTTCTTCCCTTTAATTCTCACAGCCCTCCCTGCAACCTGGGCGTGTCTATTCCTGCGTACAGGTGTGACGGCAGAGAGAAGGCTGATCGGCAGAGAGTGGGGCCTCGGGTCCCGCCACACAGCTGGGCCCCATGACCAGGCCCCCAGGGTACGGTGCCAGGCTGGGTGGGGAGGCGCCTGGGGGTCAGCTGGGCAGATTCCAGCCCAACCTGGGCTCAGGGTAGAGTGGCCTGGCGTCCGGGGACAAGTTACCTGTCAGGAGACGGCATTCCTCGTGGCGGCGCTCGGAGGAGTCAGCGACCTGGGGTCTGGGGACCGGCCTCCTGGTCGGGGTCCCCGATGCTGGGGATGGAGCTTCTGCTGCCCGAGCACCCAGGGGCAGCGGGGAGTGCGGCTCAGAGGAGGGACCTAGGTCAGGCGTGGATTCCGGAAGCCCTTTCCGCCTCTCAGAAGCAGCCCAGCCCGTCACAGCCCCTCCCCCGTCTTGGCCTCTCTGACCATCCCCTCTCCGTTCCCCAGTGTCTTCCAGCCCGCACTCCCGGCTCATTGGCTTGAACCTGGAAACACACGGAAGAAGGCTTTGCCCAGCATGGGCTGTTTTGGTGGAGGAGGGGGAGTGTCTGACTTTCCACTACAGCCCCCCGGGACGCTGGTGCCTTCTGCAGAGCGGAGCAGTTTGCAGCCTCCTGCCCCCACCGGGGACAGTGTTCATGACGCTCAGCTTTGCAGGAACAGTGCCTTGGGATGTGACAGAGCTGAGATGCTCTCACTTCCTCTTATGCTTTTCCTTTGAAACGGGAGAGACGGTCGTGGCCTCCTGGGCCCATTTTACAGACAGGGTGACTGAGGCCACGGCTGCTGGAGGGAAGCTGAGCCAGGGCCTGTCCCTCTGAGAATCTTGTGTCTTTAAGCTGTTGATTTTAAGAGGGTATAGGGAGGAGCGTCTGGCGTCTGGCTGGGGTCGGTCTTCGGGGCGCCTCCCAGGGTCCTCTCTCTGTCCTACCTGAGCCAGGCCTGGCCTCTGGGGACGTTCACGCGGGCTCTCCTCTGGCTGCGCGTCAGTGTCAGGCCCGGGACGTCACTGAGGAGGTGGGTCTCCGCCTGACACCCCTTCTCCCGGTCACACTGCGTTCTCGGGCTGCCCTTGTCCACTTGCGATTCCGCCGAGACTCCAGTCCGCGGCCGCCTGTGGGCGGAAGGCACTGGGTTCTGGCTTGTCTGGGTGTGCCCTGGGGGCAGTGAGGCCAGCCCCTGGCCGGACCAAGCATTGGGGAACATGGTGCCACCGTGGAGACCCGCGGCCCCCTACCCGGCAGCGCGTCCCCCTAAGCGGTGGGGAGGTGGGGGGCCGGGGTCAAGGGAAGGGCCCCCATCTTCACTCACCGGCCAGCCAGTCGACGGTGGACTCGCCTGGAGTAGCCACGGACAGCAAGAAAAATAAGGGACTTTCAGGGGCAGCTGTGTTTTCTGACTCAAGTCATAATGCCCCTAAAAATCCTTATTGCTCTTGCAGTGGGCATCGGGCAGTGGCTGGCAACCCCCCCCTCACCACGTGGCCCCTAGGGGAGGGAAAGGGCATCCAGGGGACCCATTGAGACCTGCTGGTTATTAAAACGCGTTCGTTGGGCCGATGCATTGCCTTGCATATGTTTTTACCATTTTCTTTTTCGGTGGAGGATTGGGCATCCAGCTATTCCCGCTGGATGAAGAGTCTCCTGGCTGTGTGTGGGTGAAGGTTCAGGAGGCCCAGCTGCACGTGCAGGGCACGAGGAAGGGCGGCCGTGGGGCCAGGTAGGACGAGGGCCACGGAGCTGGGCTGGCCGGCTGCCCACTTTCCTGAGAAGCTGGAACCGTTGAGGGGCCCTGGGCAGGCACTTGCACTGTGTTTTAACACAGAGGAGAGCCCCAGTCCACTCTCTGAGACCCGGTGAGCTGGCCAGTTTGCAAACTCGCTTGCAGTGGGTTCAAGGCTCCCTCCCCCTCCCCGCTAAGGTGACCCTGGAGCTTGCCGGGTATTTTCTATCCCCATTTCACTTCCTGAATCTCCTCCATTCTCAGTAGGTGCCCCCAACCCCACCTTTCCTCTCCCCACCCGACAGATAGTTTGGTTAAGCAGCCAGAATATCAACTTGTGACATGGGTCCCCCCCTCCGCCCACACCTCTTAACCCAGGAACACCAGTCCACAAGCATGTCACCAATCCGTCCTGACAGCTGTGGCTGGGTGGGTGTAGTCCCATGCACCCAAAAGTCCCTGGTTCGATTCCCGCTGAGGCCACATACCTAGGGTGCAGATTCAGTTCCTGGTCTGGATGCATGCCGGAAGCAGCTAATTGATGTTCCTCTGAAATCAATGAAAACATTTTGTTTTAAGCCACCAAATCCCACAGCAACAGAAGCTTCCTGTCTAGCTGCGGCTGAGCACTGGCCTGCCCGCGGATGGGCAGACGAGGCAGGGAACAGGCAGCAAGCCCCATCTCGTGTCCCGTTGACTGTCCAGGTCTGCAGGGAGATTCACCCCCCAGGTATTGCTCAGGTTCCCTCCCAGGTGCCGACTCGAAAGCTCTCATCACTCAAGAAGACCACATGTGGAACCTTGACGGCCATCATACTCATTCCCGGCCAGCCAGGCCCCTTGCTGCCCAGGCCCAGGTCGGTCGTCTGAGCCTGCCTCCACACCGGCTCTGCCAGACAGTCTCTAAGGGGCTGGAGTTGCACCGGATCTTCCTCTTTTTACTGCCCAGGGGGAGAGGCAGCGCTAAGGTAACTATCCAGGGGCTGAGGGAGCAGCGTGTATCCCTCCCTGGTAAGCGGCAGGTGGAGCTTTCGTGGAATGAGATTCTCGAAGATTACAATGGACACAGGGTAATACACCGCGTCCCATCCTCATCAGCTAAGCATCTGCTAACTTCAAATTAATTGTCCCTGTGGCCCCTTTGACCTGCCATCTCCCCCAAAACTCCTTGTTCCTGAGTGTGCTCCTCAGTCTTTACCCCAAAACGACACATCAATTTTTGAAAAGGCAATACATCAAAAATAAATACTGTTCTCCCCCTACCCACACACACACACCTCTCCCGTTACAAAAGAACTGCCTTGCATGGTAGAACATTTCAAAAATGCTGAAGGATGGAAAAGGCTCATAAATGCCCATAGCTGGGATAATGTCTGCTAATGAAGTACAGCGTTTTCCCCGTTAGCAGGACTGGGGCTTTTAAAACGGGCGAGGCTCGCCACCCATTTGAGCGATGGCTCTGTGCCCTTGGGAGCCAGAAAGTCTCCTTTCTCTTTGCCAATCAGGCTGGAGGACCATGGGCTGAAGCATGCCTCCAGCCAGGGAGCTCAGGGAGCTCAGAGGCCTGGTTGGAGGGCGTTGGAGCAGCGCTGGGTCTCTCCAGATGGATGACGGGGTTGGGGAAGATGCTAGAAATGTGGGCTGTTGCATTGCTTCTCCACCTTAGTCACCCAAGACTCACGGAGAGTCTTCACACACACACACACACACTCCACGGCCCAGGCCCCACCCCCCACCACTTGGCTCTGAATTGTCGGGGCAGCTGGAGTTGGTATCTGTGTCTGCTTTCCGGATGGTCCTCAGCTGATCCCGTGAAGCAGCCAGAGCACCATCCGCTCTCTGCCCACCATTCAGAGGCAGGAGAAGGCTCCTCCAGCTGTGCCCCCAGAGGCGGGTCAGGCGATGTGGCCATTTGCGGTGGGCAGACCTTCACTTCCTGTCTTTTCTCAGCTGCTCAGAGTCAGCCTTTGATCCTGGTTTCACAGAAGGAAGACTGAGGCCAAGGGGATCAGGAGACTTACCCGAGGACACACGGCCAGGATGTGGCAGAGGTGGGGGTGAGGTCTGCGGCTGCTGACTCCCGAGGTCAGTGCTGTCTCAGTAACTGTTATTTGTAATGAGCTTATGTGATTATAACAAGCATATCAGTGCTTGCTAACACATAGGTTACAGTGACGATGAAATACTGGGGAGGAGGGGGGTGCCTCACAGGGAGACTGGGGGGTTGTCCCGCAGTTTCCCCAGTGCTGCGTGCCCTGGCCAGCCTGGACCCACAGCCTGCCCCCCGCTGCACTGCCGAGGATCTGGGGAGGGCAGGGTTTAGCCCCATTTTCAGAGCATCCAAGGGGCACAAGGCCCCCAGTTCCCTGCTCGCTGCCCGGATAGAGGCGTCTCAGGAGCACAGCCTGCGTGGGGCTTGCTCCTCTGGGCCCTGCTCCAGGCTGGCGGCCCCTAAGGATCAGGACCCCTGCTGGGTGCCTGGATCTGCAGAAGGCTGTGCCTGCCCCTCCCTCTTCCTCCAGAGCCGGACTCCGAGGAGCTGAGGGTCAGCCGGGCGGGATGCCAGTGCAGGGAACTCACGGGCAGGCTCATTGTCGGCTCCAGGAAGCGGTCCGCTGTGCCCCGGGCAGGGCCGAGGCCTGGAGGGCCAGCCTGCCTCGGACACGGCGGGTGGAGACAGGAGGTGGGAGCCCCTTTCCCAGAGCCCAGCGGCTTCCTTTGGCAGCGAGGCCCGGGCGCGGGCCACACCTTCCCTCGCTGGGCCTTGGCGCGCTCCTTCCTCCGTCTGGCTCTTGCCCGGCTCCCCGCCCAGCTCTCTGCAGCAGAGTGCACACTCTTGGCAACAACACCCATGTAACCTGCTTCCCAGAAAGCCGGATGGCCGGGCAGGCCGCCTCCGCCAGCCCCGTGATGGAAAGCAGGGCGCTGGGCCCCACTCAGGCTTCTCCTTGGGGGGCTGGGTTGGGAGACAGTCCTGCACTGCCTCGGCCTTCCCAGGTCAGGAATAACCTCAGCTCAATACCACGAACTTGGAGCTCCTGGGATTAGGGCAGGGAAGGGGAGACAAGCCTTGGCCAGGAGTCTGGTCCAGGGCAGCCGCATGGCGGGGGCCCTGGGTAGAGCCCCGTCTCTGAGCCTGTTGCTTCATTGGGCACAATAGTGCCCGTAGGAAGGTGCCACACTGTAGGCTTCTTCAGACTAGAGAGAGGAAGTTGTCGCCCCTTTTCCCTCCCCTTCTAAGGAGAACTCTGGGCGGAGTCTGGCTTGGAGAAGGTGCCCACTGAAGCCCAGGGGCGCTGCTCCGGAAGTGAGGTGTGAGTGTCAGCGTGCTGGATGGTACCTTATCATCCTTGGTCTCTGAAGGGGTCCTCTTTGGCCAGCTTTCTCCTTGGCTGTCCTGCCTAGACCCTGTTAGGATGGGCAGTGGTTCTAAACTGAGAAGGTATAGTCCTCACCCCCTTTGCCCTGCATTCTGGCCCACAGAGGCATCCTTCACCTCCTCAATTTCATCCTGCAAGTCCAGTTCCAAAGCATTCCCTCTGGGCCTGGGCCAGAGTAGCTGCTACCGAGCTCCTCCCACCCCTCCACCCGCCCACCTCCTGGGGGTGCAGACAGCACAGGCGTGAAGGGCTTTCTGTTTGGCACCGCTGGTGGGGGAGAGATTAGCACTTGATTTCTGTTTTCACTCTTGTGTCTAACACGCAGAGCCCTGAGACGTCACAGAAAAGCAGCCTTGGACCTCGAATGAGTTCCAGACCTGTCCCTGACGACCTGGCCATGCAGAGGTGCCTGGAGGAATAGTGGATGCCATGCCCTGGGTATGTGGGGAGAGGTGCTGGCCAGCATCGACGGCCCTTCTGACAATGCCTGTCTTCTTCAGAGGATCTCCCCTCCCCCGCCGAGTACCCTTGGGGTTCAGATGAGGCCAGTCCTACCCTCCAGGCTTGAGAGGCAGGCATGTGTCCCAGGATGGATGCTGAGACTCCCCCTTGGGACTTTTGCAGCAATGCATGAGGAAAGAGGCACTCCGTTTTTGTGGGAGTTGCCAAGTGGACAGAAGTTGCCAAGCTTGGAACGGCTGGTGGCCATCCTGTGCTCTGCTTGAGGATACAGCCAACGAGGAGGAAAGAGAAGGCGAGTGTGCTCTATCCATACATCAGGAAGCCTCTGGATCAAGCCATGCCTGAAGCCAGCTGCACCCCTGGACTAACCTGATTACATGAGCCAATGCTGTTTTTCCCCCCAACACTATCTGGAGGTGGGTTGCTATCATAGAAAGGGTCCTAAGAAAGGCGATGCTTTTCTTTGATGTCATTTTTAGGAAGTCAACATTGAGGTATACTTTACATGCAATAGATTTCACCCATGTTAAGTGTCCCATTCATAAGTAGTGACACTCTTGTAACTATCAACCAGCATTCAAGTTCCCTCCTTCCCCTTCACTTACAGGTAAGGCCAGAGAACCACTGACCTACCTATATTCTAATGGTTCGCTTTTGCCTTTTCTAGAATTCCATATAAATGTCATGTAGGGTATTCTCTCTTGTGTCTGGCTTCTTTTAGTCAACAGGGTTTGGAGATGTATTCATGTTGTTGCACATGTCAGTAGTTCATTCCTTTTTGTTGCCAAGTAGTGTTCTGTTGGATGGATGTACCACAATTTGCTTATCCATTTATGGGATGGTGACCATTTGGACTACTTCCAGATTTTGGCTATTATGAATAAAACTGTTACAACAGTCACGTACAAGCCTTTTGTGTGGGTATGTGTTTTGATTTTTTATGTCTAGATACCAGTCTCATTTTATAGTTGAAGAAACCGGTTCAGAGAGGTAAAATGACGTGTCCAAGGTCACACAGCTGATGGGCCCCGTGGCTTGCGAAATGGCGCATGGTGTTTGGGTTCTTCTTTATAAAGGGCCTCCTGGAATCCCAGTGCCCAAGAGCGGTGGCTGCTAGGAAGGACTGTCAAGATGAGCTGTAGCCACGGTCCTCACCTTTTCATCCCCCTCCACCGAGGTTGTTTCCCGTATGGATACCATGGTTTGGAAGATTGCATCCACTAAACGGACTTCATTCATAAAGCCCCCATGTATTTCTTAAACTCGTAAAGACGAACTACGTGTCTGAGCTGACAGCACTGGAGCAAGCTCGGATGAAGTCATGGAGTTGAGATCCAGCCAAAACAGGAAGATCTTTTTTGTCTTTTTGGTTTTTTGTTTTGTTTTTAACTTGGGATCAACAAATCATGGACCCATTCCAGAAGTCCAGAGGATGTCAAGCTGATAACTCCCAATTTAGTCCAGCCTCTCACCTCACAGGTGCTTCAGCCAGCTCTTCTCTCTGCTCAGGTCAGCCCTTGGAGGCCAAGGAGCGTGTTTTCCTGATGCTCATGTAGTGACCTTACTGTGGGCCACATCCCTTGGGACTCAGTCTCCCCTGGTCCAACTGTGCCGAGCCCACCTGCAGGCCTTCCAGCCTTGTGAGCCCATACATCCTTTCCCTCATCCGAGGCAGCTTGCAATGGAGAGTCCAGGCTAACACAGCTTAGCCAGGACAGCACCCCCCAACCTCCCCAGGCAAGATCAAGACCACCAGCCCAGGTGATGGCCTAGGGCCATGGTTGGCAAACTGGGGCTCGCTAGCCACATGCGGCTCTTTAGCCCCTTGAGTGTGGCTCTTCCACAAAATACCACGGCCTGGGCGAGTCTATTTTGAAGAAGTGGTGTTAGAAGAAGTTTAAGTTTAAAAAATGTGGCTCTCAAAAGAAATTTCAATCGTGGCGCTGTTGATATTTGGCTCTGTTGACTCATGAGTTTGCCGATCACTGTCCTAGGGGTCAGACACTACTCGGTGCTTTGTATGCATTATCTCAGTCCTCTCAGCAACTCAGGCGACAGACTGAGTTATTCCTCTTTCACTAGGAGGCCAACGGGGGCACAGAGAAGTCACAGCACGAAGCTAGAAGGTGGGTGTATAGCACACATCCTATGTCCCTCTAAGATTCTCTCCGCTCCCCTGTCCATCACTCCCGTGTGCTCTGCTTCTGTCTGTGGCCGAAGGACTCCATGGGGTCCTCACAGACCCACACTTGAAGCTGAGCAGCTGCCTTCCCAGAGGCAGAGCCCTCCCAGGCCACATCCCAGGCGAAGGGGGCTGATTCCTGAGCAGCCACCAAAGGGACTGGAGGACTCCGCCCGGAGAGTGCAGGGAGTGGGTTCTCGGGATGACCTCTGAGCAGCAGGAGCCGAGGAGGGAGGAGGAATTCCTCCTCCCAGCCTGGAGCCCTCGGAGGCACAGTTTCCACGTGTGGTTTGCTGTAGAGCGGTAGCCGGATGGTTATACGTCATCTTGCCCTCCTTCCCATCCCTCTCTGCCTCCCCCCTCACTTGTTGCCCTGGAATGCCACCTCCACATTAAAAGCATCAGCACTGAATCCCTTGCTCCGGGCTCTGTTTTCTAGGGAACCCAAGCCGTCCGGCTGCTGGGTCTGCACCACCAGCTTCAGCGAACGTTGAACGAGAGAACAGATGCCGTGGCATGGGGCTTGGTGAGCGGCTAGGGGACAAGAAGGATGCCCCGTTCATCAGATTATTCCCGTGTCCCTCTCCCCCTTCACTCACTAGGTCGAGTCAGTGACCTTGTCTCTGGCCTCCTGCTGTAGTTCGGAGGCCGTGGCCTCCCCCCTGCCTGCTCTGTCTGGTACAAAGCAATCCAGGCTCCTTGATCCTCCACTGACTGGGCATGCAACGCTGGCAGGTTCTCTGCCTCCCTGAGCTGATCTCGGCATCTGTTCACGGGACCACAAGGGCCTCATCGCCTGGGCCCGTTGGGAGGCCTCATGGACACTCAGTGCTGTGCCTGAAGAATGGGAGTCGGGCCTTCCGAGGCCGCCTGATGACAGCCCTGCACTCTTTTGGAAACCACCTTCCTTTGTTCTCAGTCCCTGTCCTGCCTATCTCTGTCCCACCCCATTCCACACCTACCGCCCGACCCCGGCAATCAGCACATCCCAGGCCTGACTGCAAGGACTGGCTCAGGCCTGGGCATCAGACCCACGTTGAAAGGGTCCCTCTCACGGCGCCCCAAAGTTTCTGGAACAATAAGAGGCGCTGCTTCTTTGCTGAGATCATTAGCCTGGAGTTAGCATGCGGCCAATGGAGGAGGAAGCCAGTAGAGTGAGAAATCAGGAGAAAGCAGAGCCAGGAGAGGGAGCGGACCTGGAGGCCTGCTGATATCTTCGGAGCGCTTGGACCCAGTCCTGCCAGAAGCTAGTTAGCCCCTGGTATTCTTAGAAATGAATACTTAAACCAAAAAAATGTCCTTTTTAATTAGCTTAAGCTAGTTCGAGCCGAGGTTCTATTAAAACCGAAATGGTCTTGACTCATACGGTGGTTCCCTGTAAAAGGCTGCGGCGTTATCACAATTCCTATCACCGGTGTCGGCACATTAGCGGGAAGATGCCACCATGGGGACGCACCGTCCAGGTTCCCCCAGGGGCCACGGCCACTCTCACACGTGACACCCCGGCTCTCAGCTCCCCGAGGGCAGGGGGACTCATGTTTGCTGCTGCCACAGAGTAAGTGGCTCATGACATCTGCTGAATGGACAAATGAAGCAGGCCCATGGCCCACCGTCTCCTCCAACGTGCCCTGCCTTCTAGCCCCCGTGCCAGGACCACGTTTGCCCTCGCTGCTTGTCCTTGGCTGATACCTGAACCCACTGGGGCGTCTGCCAGGAGTCTGTCTTGGCAAACGGAGCTCTTATTTTCAATGTGCTCTCTGGGGCTTCCTTTCTCCCTGCACCCATTCATATAGTCTGTTTTAAAATCTTATTAAAAGCGTCCAGTGTAGATTCCTACCTTACACTAGTCACGAAAATTAATTGGAAATGGGTTAAGGACTTAAATGTCAGACCAGAAACTATAAAACTCCCAGAAGAAAACAGGAAATTGTCACATGTGTCTTGGCCATGGTTTTTGAATGACACCTAAAGCGCAGGCAACAGAAGAAGTAGATGGCAATAAACTAAAAAGCTCCAAAAAGAGAATCTTAAAAGCAGCAAGAGAAAAGCAGTGAGTTACCTACAAAGGAGTGCCCCTATCACTGTCAGCTTATTTCTCAATAGAAACTTTTCAGGCCAGAAAGGAGTGGCAAGAAATATTTAAAGTGATGAATAGTAAGGACCTACAATCAAGATTACTTTACCTAGCAAAGCTATCATTTAGAATTGGGGGGTCAGATAAAGGGCTTCCCAGACAAAAAGCTAAAGGAGTTCATCACCACCAAACCAGTATTACATAAAATGCTGAAGGGTATTCTTTAAGAAGAGGAAGAAGAAAATGTAAAAATATGAATAAAATGGCAATACTAGTAATATATATCAACAGTTGAATCTAAAAAATCAAACAAACAAAAAAAATAATGAACAAAATAAACTGATAATAAAATAGAATCAGAGTCATGGAAACATGGAATAGATGGACAAATCTCAGAGGGAAGGGGTGAGGAGGTATGGGAAGAGATTAACCAAAAATCTATATGCATATATGCATTACCTATGGACACAGACAATAGAGAGGGGAAGGCCTGAGGCGGGGCTGGAACCTGATGCAGGAGGACAATGGGGGGATTGAAAGGAAGCATCTGTAATACTCTTAACCACATGTGGAATCTAAAAACAAAAAACAACAACAAACACATAGAAAAAGAGATCAGACTTGTGGTTATCAGAAGTGGGGGTTGGGAGGAGTGGATAAAGATGGTCAAAAGGTACAGACTTCCAGTTTTAAGATAAATAAGTGCTGGTGATGTAATGTACATGATGACTATACTTAACACTGCTGCACAATATATCTGAAAGTTAGAGTAAACCCTGAATTTTCATCATAAGGAAAAAACATTTTTTTTCCTTTTTTTGGCATGTGTATTTTTTTGAGATGATGAATGATTACAAAACTTATTGTGGTAAGATTCTATCTAATAGAGTAGTATGCAAATTGACTGTACCTCTGCCACACCCATGAGCCAATCAGGAGTGAATATGCAAATAAACCCAACCAAGGTGGCTACGGCCACAGAGAGTGGGAGGGAGGCTTGGGTTTCTCCTTCAATGGAGGAAGCCAAGCTTTCTGCCTGCCCTTGCTGGCCTAGGCCTCCACTCAAGGCTACAAAGTTTCAATTATAGAAGGTAAACAAATCCCAACAGAAATGATAGCAGCCATGAGCTGGAAGACCAGGAGGCTAGGGTTGTCCCCAGCAATGGAGAAAGCCAAACTTCTGAAGCCCTGGCCTGCCTTGGCCTCTGCTACAAAGATTCAATTATAAAAGATACGTAAGTCCCAACAGAAATGGCAGCCACCACAGAGCAAGCAGGAGGCTTGGATCCACTACAGGCTACAAAGTTTTAATTGTAGAAGATAAATAAACCCTAGATATTTAGGTTGTAGTCTTGGGTCTCTGGGAGGTGTGGCCCACCTGCAAACCCCCACAGGCTCCTCACCCAGATCACCCCACACCCTGAGAGAACCCCCATCCTGATTAGGGTTAGGGTTAGGGTTAGAGAAAACAAACAAATGGGATACATAAAAATAAAAAGCTTCTGCACAGCAAAAGAAACCATCAACAAAACAACAAGAAAGCTCATTGCATGGGAGAACATATTTGCTAATGTTATATTAAATAAGGGCCTAATCTTCAAAAATTTATAGGGAACTCATACATCTTAATAAAAGGAAAATAAACAAT